CTCCAACTCTGTCACTCATAGGTGCATTCTTTCTTCGGTGTCTCACAAACTATCCAACTGTTGAAAAAAGAATATAAATATGTGAATACCAGCTTTTTCCAATAAAAATAACAAATGTTACATCTACATGAGGCTCCTGGTGTAGCCCGTGTCTGAGCAGAGGGGTGTCCTGGGGGCGGGGTGGTGGGTGGGTGCACCAGGGGGTATCTGTCTGGGGATGAGGTTGCGGGTGGGGCTGGGCTGCCTCCTGCTCCAGCTCCTGCCTCCTGTCCTGTCCTACCCCAGCGAGGAGGGACCCGAGCGCTACGGTCACCGACCCCAGGTCAGGCACAGGGATGGGGTCGGGGCAGCAGACAGTGCTTTAAACCGCTGTGAAGCAGCTGAAATGTCCAGCGGTCCAGCAGTGTGGTGTCCAGCCAGGCTGGATCTGCCCTCGGCCGGCCCACACAGCGTACACAAGCCTTGGGGTCCCCGTAGGTGGGCAGCGGGGCAGAAGGGACCTCAGGCACCTGGACTCAGAGAACCCCAGGCCTGCCTGACGGCTCACAGGAGCATGTCGGGAGAAGGCCGTGTGCCCTGGGGGCTTCTCTGTACCCCACCTGGAGACTCAGTTCCCCCCCATCACCTTCCAGACCTTTTACACTCAGGTCTAGCAGGTTGGAGCCCTGTGGTCAGGAAACAGCCCCTGGGGAGGAGAATCCTACCATCTACCTGTGGGCCAAGGGCTAGCCTGTGAGCCACGCACGTCTAGGAAGCGGTGGGTGGGGTTAGAAGTCAAACCCTGATGGTGAAGGGGCCAGTGTGGCACTCAGGATGGCTTCGGCCAGCAGACCCAGCATGGGCCCTCAGTACGCCCCGTGCGGGGGCCTTGTATGTGAGGCAGAGACTTACAAGACGGGGAGGTGCTGCCCCAGATCACAACCGCCCTCGAAGCCCGGAGAGGCGTGGCTCTGCGGGGAGAGGCCCAGCCCTCGAGCACAGAGCCAGGAGGCCACGGCACGCCGTGGGCACTCTTGAAACCGCTCCCGCCAGGCCTGCCCGGGCACGCGGAAGTCAGACTCAAAATGCTGTGAATCTAGGAGCTGTTTCCCTGCAAGGTAAGTTCATATGAACTGAATCGTAGTAAATTTGGAGGGACAAGCGTCCAGGCGGAGACACGTGTGTACACCGCAGTATGGACTCGTGTGTGGCTCGCTCGGCGCTTGGGGCTCATCCTCTGCATGGCGGTGACTCAGGGCAGGCCTGGCAGGCTGGGTGTGCGTGTGAAGGGGTGGCACACCAGAAGTCCATGGTGATCTGGAGCGGCAGCTCCCGTGGTCTCAACTGAGGACAGTGACAGGGTGATGGTGTTGGCCTTCTTAGATACAGAGGACAGCTCCAACCTTTATGAACGTGTCTACGATCAGCAGTCCTGGTGGAAACCGACTCTTGGGACCAGCAGGAAGGAAATGACACAGAAAAGACCTGAAGAATTGAACCATGGATGTGTTCCAGGTCCAGATGCAGGATCAGAACAGCCATCCAGACAACCCAGCCCCAACCTCCCAGGTCTCCACCTGCTCTCAGGAGCCATTTGTTATGAATCCCTCAGCGGATGAACCCCGTGGATGAGGTCGGAACTCGCAACCCAGTCACCCCTCTCCCAACATGACAGGGAGCCCGTGAACTTCCCAAGGTCACATGACCCGTGGGCCCCGGCCACCGTCATCTGTTTCTATCGCTGTGACAGAGTGCCCGAGGCTGGGTTCTTTAGAAAGAAAAGCTAATTCAGTGCACAGATTGGGAGGCCAAACGTCTTGGAATTCCCTCGGTTTGGCCTCTGGCCACCATGCAACATGAATTGAAGGGAAAAAAATGAGAGCCGGACTTCTGACGTTCTGACCCTTGGAGAAGGCAGGCAGGGAGAGCCTGGCAAATACTCCACAGTCTCGCTGTGAGGTTCTCCCACTGGAGGAGCAGCTGCCACAAAGGCGTCCCAGCCTCTAGGTGGTTTCCGAGCAACCAAGAAGCTTTTACAGCCTGACATAAGTGCTCAGATTATGTCTGTGTGGGGGGGTGGGGGTGGGCTTCTGTCAAAGCATAAAGCAGGCATGTTTACCGCCACCAGGATGCTGTTAGAATTAGCACAGCCCACACCCTTGGGTGACAGGCTCCAAGAGGGACGGAGTCTGCACAAGGCAGTGATGGAATGGGGGGGGGAACAGTGAGAATGAACATTGTAGGCGTCTTCATGACATCTACACCCCCAAAAGTCCCAAATAGGAACCGACACGGATGTCTGAAGGGTGAATTCTTCATGCAGCATGCCTGCGAAGGCACGTGTCAGACAGACAGCATCTCAGGAGACCAGCAGTTACCTTTTACTCTGCACTCACAGGCTGTGGGCCGTGGGTCTCAGAGCTGTGGTCTCACCTTGGGCCTCTCTGTGCTCCTCTGAAGACACAGGGACACAGAGCCCACTCGTGGGTTGGGATTCCCCCCCCACCGCGGCAGGGTGAGAACCTTCAGCCGAGTCCTGGTGATCACTGTGGCTGGGTGGGGCCAGGCCTGGGGGTGGGCAGGGGTGTGGGGCCATGCCCAGGAGGGCAGTGCTGTATGGCCTGCAAGGGTGAGGGAACTGGGGAGCTGTGCAGGGTGGGAGCAAGGGAGTTGCCAGCCCAGTGACCCGGGCATCTGCCCAGCCTGGGCCATCAGGGTTCCCCGCGGGCCGGTGACCTGCCTGTGACTGTCGCTGCCACTGCCCTGGACCCTGAGAACACAGCGCTGCCCGCTGCCTTGGGCCCACAGGTTGACCATAAGCGGAAGAGCTCAGCCTGGCTGCCTCGGACTCCAGGCAGGACCGCTGTTGGGAGTGACCATGGCAGAGCAGGACCCCCGGGGGGTCCAGAGGCCGTCTACGGGTCTCAGCAGCTGCGAGGATGCGGGTGAGGCTGGGCTCTGGGGTCCTGACTGCTGTCCCCGGCGCCATGCGGAGTCAGATCCCGGTGTGTGTGGGGGGAGTCACCACAGAAGAGTGTGGGCCATGGTCATCTGAGCAACAAGGGAGAAACAGGAGACCCCGCCCCAGGAGGCCCCCGAGGGACGCAGGGTGGACAGCCTCCTGCTGTAACAGGAGGCCCCGGGCCTGGTTGGGGGCAGCAGAGGGCGGGATGCCAGCCAGGGCTGATGGGGGAGTGTGAGCCCCCACCATCGGAACCACTGCTGCCTCCCTCCTCAGGCTGCGTGCGGCTGTGGCAGCACGGGCACGGGCAGGGACAGCGGCCGGCACTGGGGTGGCCAGTGGCTTTGTCCCCACTCAAGCTGAGCCACCTCCCCATCCTTTCCCAGGGAAGCCTGGGGCCCGGTCCTGCGGGCAGGGCAGGGGTGCCAGCAGGCTCTGGAGCCCCAGGAATTCTCAGTCCCAGTGCCTGCGGGGGGCGGGGGAGCTGTCTGTCCAGGCTCCCCGACTCACCAGGCACAACTTCCCTTCAGCCAGGGCGCAAGCCCGTCAGTCCACCAGCCTCCTCGGTGACACTGGGCTCTAGAGGCCCGCCCGAGGCTCTCCGCCGTCCCGAAGCCTTGGGACTGGACTCCTCCTGGCCTCCCAGGTCCCTTCCCCTGCCGGCTTCCAAGCCAGGGTGACAATGAGAACATAGCCAGCCACAGCCCGAACTGTCAACACAACCAGAGCACAGCACAGGACTGACCCCCTCCCCCAGCCCCAGCGGGGGGACCAGGTCTTGGGGTGCCAGCCCCATTGCAAGGGGTGGTAAACCCCCAGACCATCACTTTCCTTGGATGCCATTTTATCAGTATCTTGAGTTTCTGAAGAATTGCTGACTGGGCTGGGAAGGTGGCTCAGTGGTAGAGTGCTTGCCTTGCATGCCTGAGGCCCTGGGTTCGATTCCTCAGCATCCCATTCACAGAAAAAGCCAGAAGTGGCGCTGTGGCTCAAATGGTAGAGCACTAGCCTTGAGCTGAAGAGCTGAGGGACAGCGCCCACCCCAGAGTTCAGGCTCCACAACCAACCAAATAAAAAAAAAAGCATTGCTGACTGTTCACTCTCCCCTCTGAGAGCCAGGGGCAACATCTGGGCTAAGACTCCGTGTGCCCGAGTCACAGCAGAGGCCTGGTGACACACTGAGGGCTGAGGGGCGGGGGGTCAGGCACACAAACCTCAGTCCTGAGATTTTGTAATGCAAAAGGGCACTTGGGTTTCACCTCATCCAGTGCAGACATTTGCTAATGCTCTCTCTCTCTCTCTCTCGCTCACACACACACACACACATACACCAGGGTCTGTGGGAAGGCATCAGCTATGCAAACCTGTCCTGAGCTTTTGTAATACACACACACACACACACACACACACACACACACACTGCATGCATACATACCCCCCCCCCAACACACACAAAGACTTCTCCAAAAACAACACAGAAGACAGGTTTCACCGAAGCGTTTTATTTTGGCTAATTCTGGCCTTGACCCTGGCCTTTGGCTCTGGCGCGGCACAGCCATAGTCGTGGGCAGGAAGCCCTGTGGAGCCAGACAGGCCCTCACTCACCACCGACCCCACTGGACGGGGAGCCACGGGACAGGCCGTGGCACCCACAGCCCGGGGGAGGGGTTGTCACAGGCCGGGGCACAGGGCATGCACCAGCCGCAGTGCACAGCGCAGGAAGGCGGCTTGCTGGCGAGGCTCAGCAGCAACCGTATAAATAAGAGAGGACACCATGGAATCACACGGACTTGTTTAGCTCGTGAAAAAACAAAAATCCAACCCAAAAGGAAGGGAGGGGCCAGGAGTGCGCTGGAGCCGGGGAGGTGGGAGAGGAGAGTCCCCGCTCGGAAGTGCTTCTCGGGGTCTAGCCTGGAGCTCAGCGTCATCTTCACGGTGGGGACGAGGCCTGGCCCGGGGCCGGCGCGGGAAGTAACTGCAGCCTTCCCGCCACACCGGGAGGGCCCCGGGGTGGGGTGGGGGTGGGGGGGGGGCGGTGGGAGAAAACGTCATGCAATTTCCTACGAGTGGCGTCACGAGTGGCGGAGCGGCCCCGCGCCCCAGGGTCGGCCGCGCAGAGGCCCCTCGGCGCCCCCCGAGAGCCTCCTCCACCGGGGGTGGGCTCACGCGGCCGACAGGAAGGGGAAGAAGAAGAAGTTGAAGGCAAACTTGAGGGCGCCGTGCACGGTGCTGCGCCAGTCCTGCTCGATCTTCACGTGCCGCCGGGCGGGCGCCAGCTGGGCCATGCAGTTCAGGCAGCTGATGGCCTTCAGCTCGAAGACGGGCCACTTGCTGCCCAGCCGGCCCTCCAGGATGGTGCTGAACTCGATGAGGCTGCCGTGGCGCAGGCCCAGCAGCACATCCTTGAACTCGCTGCTGGCGCGCAGCACGATGTCCTTGGTGATGTCGTCCTCCTCGTGGCCGCGGGTGCTGTTGGCGCCGCCGCCGAATGGCATGCCCACCGTGATCTCGAACTTGTAGCGGTCGAACTTCTTGATGTGGCAGGGGTGCTTGGCCAGCTGCTTGAGGCGGCAGAGCTCCTGCTCGGCCATGGCCGCGGCGCCGGGGCTGCAGGACGGGTAGGCCTCGCCGTACAGACAGCGCATCCAGTCGCCCACGAAGAAGGGCAGCATGTTGATGGCCGACTCGGCGCTGTTGTCGATGTCCGTCACCCGCACGTACTTGAAGCGCCCGGTCCACGTGACCCGGTGGCCCTCCAGGTGGCTGCACAGGATCTGGGTACGGGCCATGTTGGTCTCCTTCCAGGCCCGTGGGCCGCACAGGAAGCTGTACTGCGGCCAGCTCAGCGTGGAGTTGTAGACCTTCATGCCCTCCGAGCGGTACACGTAGAACCAGCAGAACAGCACGATGGCCGAGAGCCACACCAGGATGAGCTTGACCATGGAGCTGCGCGACAGGGACTTGGCCATCTCCACCGCGGACAGGCTGGCCTTGCTCCACCAGCGCAGCAGCAGCGGCACGGCGCACAGGGCCGCGGTCGCCAGGAGCTTGGTGAGGTCCAGGGACACGAACCACCAGGCAAACTGCACCACGCCCATGAGGGTGAGGCCGGCCACCAGGACGGGGAGCGCGAAGAGGAAGAGGAGGTAGCCAACCGAGGCGCGGACCAGGCCCAGGCCGGTGGACTCGAGCAGGATGACCACGGACAGCTCGCACCACATGAAGCAGACCAGGTAGGGCACCAGGTAGCAGTAGGTGCCCTTGAAGCCCCTGAGCTGCGCCATGCGGAAGAAGAGGTACAGGAGGTAGAGGTAGAGGAGGCAGGGCACGCTGACGTTGAGGACCACGAAGTGGCCGACGGGCACGGTGAAGAAGGTCTGGCCGAGCGCTTTCATGAAGTGCCCGTCCACGGGCATGGTGGGCAGGAGGGACAGCAGCCCGGCAGCCACCTCGGTGACCAGGGCCCTCCTGGTGTAGGGCTCGGCGCAGCTGCTCAGGCTCATGTAGCTGGTGACGGTGAAGAAGACGGAGACCATGGCCAGCTCTGAGCAGGGGATGCAGTCCTTGCTGGCCAGGGGGAAGGAGAAGATGACGAAGACGACGGACAGCAGGAAGTGGGCATAGGGCTCCAGGTGATTCCAGCCGAAGTTCACCTCGGCCTGCTCCACGTCCAGGTTGGGCTCGAAGCGCAGCAGCAGCTCGGTGAGCGAGCGGAAGTTCTCCCAGGCCTTGCTGTCCTGGAACACCTTGAGCGTGCAGATCACCATGGACACGAAGGACAGGTAGAAGACGACCAGGGGGATGAAGAAGGCGAAGAAGTCGACGGTCAGGTTGCTGATGATGAAGAAGAAGACCAGGGCGTTGATGTGGTGGGTGGGCACGATGGTGGAGAGCCAGTGCATGCCCGCCTTGGACGCCAGGTCGATCAGATACTCCTTGATCTCCATGATGGCGTGCAGTGGGTACTTCACCACCTGCGGGAGACAGTCGCTGGAGCCAACTGGGGCAAGAGCCCCGTCCGGCAGCCTGAGGCTCCCCGGCACCCCTCCCTCCGTGACGGAAGCCCAAGAGCCATCGCCCCACGCGGGCTTGTCCCAACAGACCTCCTGACACGCCTTCCCCAGCGAGGCGCCTGGGCCCCACATCCACGCAGCCATGCTGTGTCCACTCACAAAGGCGGGGTTGGAGCTCCCCCCGGCACAGGGATGGGCTAACAGGGCCCGCATGCAGCCATGTGCAACCAGCGGCTGCTGCTTGTGTTAGTGACCATCCACTCTAGCCTGCCCGTCAACAAGTAAATGCGCGCAGGCAAACCAATGAGCGGCGGGCAGTGCCCCCAGCTAGCTCCTGGCAGCCTCTGACTTCCTGAAACCTGTCACGCACTGTGGCATCTGACACTTGCAGAGAGCGGATGGGCACTAAAAAGGAAGCAGTCCAGGTTTTCTCTGAAGGAGCCCCTTTGGGAGGAGGCCAGGCCACCAGTAAAAATCAACAGCTTGGATGGTGCCGCCACCCCCGCGTGTGCCACCCCGGCCATGGGCAGCCCGGATGGCTGGAGAGGCCTGTGGGCACCCGGGAACTGGCACAGAAGGAACTGCGGTCCTGCCTGAAGTCCCACAGCCACAGATCCTGCACAGTGCCTGGGGCAGAGGGCCTGTGAAGCACAGAGAAGCTTCCAGAGCTGAGCCAGCAGTGTCTGGCCCCTGAACAGCCCCGGCCATCACAGCTCCCACCCAAGGCTCACCAGACTGGGCGACTAGACCTGACTTCTTTCCTACAGAGAATGTCCAAACACATTACAACCAACTCCTGCTGGGGTGGGAGCAGAGGTTTTCTGCTTCATTGCTTCTGTAATACAGGGAAGGGGTCGGGTTCGTGCGCTGCAAAGCCTGCTGTGCCCAGGGTGAGGGGGCAGCGTCCCGCGCACCGAGGTCTGCCTTTAACCAGCCCAAAGCCGGGGCTGCTCACACCGGAGGGACAGACCACAGGTGTGCCGGGGGAACTGGTGGGCGCGTTAGTCACGCATTACTTTCTGGTACTGGGAACTGCACTCTGGGCGCTGCCATTTCAGCCAGGCCCTCAGTCTGTGTGTTGTCTGCTGTTTTGCAGGTTAGGGTCTTGTGCTAACTCTGCCTGGGCTGGCCTCAGACCTCAATCCTCCTTCTCTACCTCCTGAGTAGCTGGGATTTCAGACATGTGCTACCACGTGCAGAGACCCTGAAAGGATTTTAAAACACTATTGAATGAGTTTTGGGGTTTTTAAAATTTTGTTTCGTGCTGATCCTGTGGCTCCAACTCAGGGCCTGGGTGCTGTCCCTGAGCTTTTGTATTTAAGGCTAGAACCCTATCACCTGTGCCACGGCACCGCTTCCAGCTCTGTGTTGGTTACTGGGAGATGGGGTGTCCTGCAATTGTCTGTCCGGCCTGGCTTTGAACTGCAGATCCTCAGATCTCAGCCTCCTGAGTAGTTAGGACTCAGGTGTGAGGCACCAGCGTCCTGCTTTGAACACATTTTTAAAAGAGAACCATCTCTCAGGGCCCCTTGCACTCCAGCCTTGGCATCTGGAACCTTCTCTAACATTCTTTTCGAGCGCACGGAGGTGCCTGTCTCCTGGGCCAGGGACCACCCCTCCGCGTCCCCCAGCCTGTCCTCTGAAAGGACATTAAATGCCAGAGAGGCTTGAGTGACGCTTGTCATGGTTTACTGCCTCTTTTATGCAAAAGACTTGTAATAAAGTCAGGTGCTGGTAGCTCATGCCTGTAGTCCTAGCTACTCAGGAGGATCAAGGTTCAAAGCTAATCCAGGCAGGAAAGTCCACGAGACCAGCAAAAAAGCCTAAAGTAGAGGTGTGGCTCAGGTGGCAGAGTGCCAGCCTTAAAGAAAAGACCTAGGAACAGCACCTACGCCCTGAGAACAAGTTCCATCTCTCTCTCTCCCTCTCCCTCCCTCGCTCTCTCTCTCTTTCTCTCTCTCTCTCTCTCATACACACATACACACAAACACACACAGACAGGCTTGTAATGAAAGACAAAACAATCAAGAGTTCTGACAGCTCCAAACCCTGAAAGGGAGGGAACAGTTATTTTTTCTCTTCCTCCCCCGTCTCTGTCTCTGTCTCTGTCTCTCTCTCTTCACTCTTCACAGCGCCCACTTCTCTCCCATGGGGCCGACACATCTTGCCACCCGACCCCAGCAGCGTGGTGTGACACGGGAGTGGTTGGGTGGGACGTGGGCTCTCCCCCTCCTGTGTCACGCTGGCCCCCACTGCTAACACTTCCTCTGGGCCCAGAACCATGCCAGGCACCGCAGCTGCCTTCTCTTGGGCGAGCAGGGACACGGGCGTGCTGCCCTGCACACGCTCCGCTTAGGACCAGCTCTGGGCGGACCTTCAACATGAGCTCCAAGCTCATGCGGCCCACCCACGCCATTCCATCGCAGGACCTCCAGCGTGGACAGCCTCCCATCACGGACGCCTTCCCGGTCCTCCATGGCCGGAGCGAGGCTTTCCACTCATCACCCCAGGGCCCTTGCGCCCCCTGGGGCTCACGCTGGATACGGTCTGTCTCTAAGTCCCAGGAATGTGGCAGTCAAGCACTGTCCTGTAGGCCCCAACTCTCCTGTCCTGCCGGCCTCCCTGTCTCCCCGATGGCCCCCAGCCTTTCAGCCCACTTCCTGCCGGTCTGCAGCTAGGCCGTCCCTCACCACTGGCCCCAAGTCTGACTCATTTGCCCACTTGTACGCTCACAACGGGTCTCAGGCAGTGATGAATTCCAAGAACTGAGGATGCTCGCACATCACAGGCCCGAGCCTGACGGCCGGGTTCTCTGCTGGTGGCCCTGACCGACGGCCAGGCCCTCCGCTCTGGGTCCTGTGCTGGCCTTGGTCTGACTGGCCGCATGCTCCCACCCATCTGATTGGGTTTCTGGAGACCCTGGCATTCCCCCAGACCGCCAAGCCTGAGGCTCTAGGTGTGTGTGGGGGTTTATGCCCCCTGTTCATTCCTGCTGCCCATGCTTAGGTGTGTCAGCATCCCCAGGCCAGGCCTACCCACCCTCACCCCTACCCCCCTCAGAGCCTGCAAACAGACCCTCGGTTGGGCCACCGCAGCCCACAAGACCCCACAGCAGTTGTTGGAGGGAGAGTCCCTGCAGAGCTGCACCTGTCTTACGCCACAGATAATCTACGTGAATCCAAAGGTACATCCCGTCCCGATCAAGGCCCTCCGGCCCACGGGGCCCTCTGTGCCCGCCTGCTGGGCGCTGCCCTGGCTTCTGGGCCTGACTGTAAGAACCACGTCCTTCTGACGACTCAGGGGCCGGGGCCGGGGTCGGAGGGAGCAGTGGCACTGCCCAGGACGTGTCTGTGAGGCGGCCCGTGGTCCTCGTGGGCAGGCCGCTGTGGGGACGGGCGGCCGGGGGCCGGCGCTCACCTTCTGGCGCAGCGGCAGGTCCTCGGGGCTCTTGCCGGCCAGCTCGTCATCCTCATCATCGTCGTCATGGAAGAGGTTGGTGGGGATGATGCCCTTGGCATACTTCTTGGTGATCTCCACAAAGTCGTCCAGGGCGATGTAGTTCTTGGCTAAATAAAGCACAAGAACACGGTGCCAGGCAATGCCAGCGATCACGACCATGGCATGGGCGGAAGAGGTGGGGTCGGAGGCTTGGGGACCAGCTGGACAGGAGTGGGTTGAGGCAGGCCCTTGCCCAGGTGTGCACGGGTAAAGCCCAGCCAGGTAGGGCGGAGGTGGCCATCCGCCAGGCCTCGGCACACCTGCTGTCTGCCTTCAACACCCCGTGTCTCCTGCTCCCTCTGACCCCCTGCTCCCCTCACTCCACATCCCCGTGCCCTGGACACTGGCATCCGAAGGGTCTGGATCAAACGTCCATTCACACCCCAGGAACTTGGTGGGAGTCGCCAGGGTCCTGTAGTCTAGTGTGTGGATGGACAGGAAGGGGCAGACAGCATGCCGGGGGCGGGCAGGAAGCATGATGCCAGGTGGGCACAGCGGGGTGGGCTGTACTCACACTCGCTGCTGACCAGGCGCTCCAGCATCCGCCTCTGTCTCTGCAGGGACTTGGGGACAGGCCCGGGCTGCGCCCCTCCATCTGCAGGGGACGGAGGACTGGGTCAGGGCTGGCCGGTCCCCTCAGCCCTGGAGCCCATGGGCAGTGCAAGCGCCACACCCCTGGGCAGCCACTCTATGAGCCAACGATACACACCGCCCTTCCTTCCAGGGGACACAGGCCCTGGACCTGCACCCCCATGGCTGGCATTGTCTACTGACTCAAGTTTACCATCAACAAGGTAGCCTAGCGACTCAGGAGGCTGAGACCTGAGGAGCAAAGTTCAAAGCCAGCCCAGGCAGGAAAGTCTGTGAGACGCTTATCTCCAAATGATCAAAAATTCAGAAGCGGAGCAGTGGGTCAAGTGGCAGAGTGCTACTAGCCTTGAGCAAAAGAGGCTCAGGAACTGCGCCTAGGCCCTGAGTTCAAGCCCCAGGATGGGCACCAAAAAAAGACAGCCAGCTCTCCTGGGGTGAGACCGAGGGCCCAGTCACCCCACATCCCTGGACCTGGTACCAGACAGCAAGCGCGCAGCATGAGTTTAATGAACCAACCAACACCCAAGCCAGGATTTGTTGTCTGCCTGTCCCCCACCTCCCAAGCCCCGAGCCCCGGTTCCCACGCAGCCCGGCCTGCACAGGGAAGGCCTCCTCCCGGGGAAGGGCCTGGCCCGGGCCTAGGCTGGCCGGTGACCTGCTGCAGTACCTTGCTCGTTGACCTGGCCGACGTTCTCCAGCAGCTCAGACACCGCCACCTGCTTTTTCTTCTTGGGGTTGAGTTTCCAGTACATGACCAGTGCGGCCTTGCGCACGGCCCGCTCCAGGTCCGTCTCGGAGGACAGCTGCTTCACCTCGGGCTCATTCTCCGAAGTGATGCCTGAGAAACAGAGGCATCGGGCCAGCCTGGGTCCCGCCTGCCGGAGCCCAGCACCACTCCGTGGGCACGCACGCTGCAGCCGAGGCCCCCCTAGACTCACCCTTCCTGTCCGCCAGGCACCGGCGAAGCAGCTTCACGGCCTCCCGCCGGCCCTGCTTGGCTGCCAGGAGGAGCCAGTCCACGGCGGTGCAGCTGTTGAGTTCCTCATCGGCGTGGCTGGCCAGCTGCAGGTAGTGTTTTGCCACCTGCAAGGCAGCTGGGCCCTGTCTCTGGCTCCACCCCTCCCCACCCCCTCCCCGCCCCTCCCTTCCAGGGCCCAGGGACCTTTTTTGGTTGTTGTTGTTTGAAACAACTTTTTTTGGGAAAGGAACCCTGAGGAACCCTGATTGTTGGGGCCCTGGTGCCTTGGCGGCATTTCTGCGTTCCATGGGAGAGGAGTGGAGATGACAGACGTAGAGCCCAAAGCATCTACTCTCAGGCCGTTTGCAGCCATCCTCCCCTGCCCTCCAGGTGTACGAAGTGAGGCCCCCACACAGCCCAGCTCAGTCTCCTGGGAAGACTCTTAGCTCCGGCTTTGCACCAGGCATCCCCCGTGTGGGGAAGTGCAGGGTGGGAGTCTCCGGGTGTGGTGGGGGGGCACCTGCTTGAGCCACACACTGCAGGGCAAGTCACTGCCTGGGGCGTGTCTACAGAGCTCCCGGGAATGACTGGGCAGGGCACAGGGAGGCGGGGGGGGGGGGGGGGATGGGTGGGGGGGGGAGGCTGGGGGGAGGAGGGCAGCTGCCAGAACTCATGGCCGCCTACCCACGGGGTCCCCACAGGTCACAACAGAGACCGGACTGTGGGATCCCCACTCACTGTTGTAAGGCTGAGGCCTGGGGGGTCAGCAGAGGGGAGGAGCAGGGTGGGCGCCCTCCGGGCGTGATGGGCAAGGCCGGCGCCCCTCAGGGAGAACGCGTGGGGGAGGGCACAAACTAGCCCGCTGGAGAGGATGCCACACTGGGGCAGGAGCCGGGCCTGACGGGGAGGGGGGTGACGCGGCTGCAGGGGGGCAGGGGCCTCAAGGAATGTGGAAACAGAACCATGATGGAGCAGGCACAGGGGCACTACCACGCGGGCTCCCTGCGTCCGTCTGTGTGGTGCGGGGACTGAGCCCCCACCACGCGCCCCTCACCTCTGTCTGCGCCTTGGGGTCCCCAGCCTTGGCCTTCTCCAGGATGTGTTCAAATGGGATTTCCACGTCTCCCTTCGCGGGCCCTGCAACGCAGGGAGAACAAGCAAAATGCGATAGAGCCCAGCCCTGTCACCTGTTACTGGGGGGGGGCAGAGCCCAGGCCTGTCACTGTCACTGGGGGGGGGGCAGAGCCCAGGCCTGTCACTGTCACTGGGGGGGGGACAGAGCCCGGGTCTGTCACCTGTCCAGATGGGCTCTGGGAGGCCTCGTGCTGACCCCACTTTAACAGCCTGGCAAGAACAGGAGGACCCCCACCCAGAACAGCGACCATCCTCAGACTCATAGCCTAGAGCAGGGTCAGCACACGCTCCTGCCCCGGCCGCGGGTGGCACAGACCTGAGCCACCACTGCCCCCCGTGGGGCTCCACTTTGAAAGCCTTGACCCAAACAACAAGAATGCAAAACCATAAGACAGTTTCAGAAAAAAGCTCATTCTACCAGTCTCTGTCTCCAACTGAGGCAGCCCTTAGCTACGAGCCAACACCCGCCCCCCCACCCGTCCCACGCTGTGCTCCCCAAGGCGGGAGCCCGCCCGCCCGCCCTCCACATGGCAGGGGACGGCCAGAAACCCGCGCTGCCGCCCCCACGCTCCTGGAGACAGGCAGAAAGCAGCAAGAGCCGCGGTGCCCATCACGCCTCAAGCCACTCGCCGGCGGCTTTCCCAGCCCCGCTCCATGCCAGGCTCCAGGCTGCTCCGCTGCGCTGCAAGCCACCGCCTGGCTGCTGTCTCAGGGCTAGGATGCCAGGGCCAAAGGCAGAGTATGGAGGGGCAAAGGGGGGCCAGGAGAGGCTCTGTGCAGGTGGTATGGGTGCCACCCTGGGGAGGCAGGAGCCTGGGATGTAGCAATGCTTCTGTCTGCAACCAGCCAGGCGCCAGGCTCACACTGCAGACCGGCCCTGGGGTCACTGCCTAAGAAGAAACATGCATGCAGCCAGAGGCAAGCCAGTGAGCGTTCCGTCCAGGGCCGAGAAGCCACCTGCAGAACACGTGTATGCGTCACTGTGGGTGTTTTGTACACAGCTTGCCACCTCCCTACGCTCAGCCCCTGGTCGGGCGGCACTGCCCACCTGTCAGATCCGCACGCTACACCTCACATCCCCAACCATAGCACTCAGCTCCGGGACGACTGTGCTAGGGAAATTGTGTGTGCATGTGCGCACACGCGTGTGCACATGCACGCACTCCAGGACTGGGGCTTGAGCTCTGGGCCTGGGTGCTATCCCTTAGCATTTTTGCTCAAGGCTAGTGCTTAACCAGGTGAGCGACAGCTCCACTTCTGGCTTTTTTGTTAATTGAGATTAATTTAGTTAATTGGAGATAATCTCATGGACTTTCCTGCCTGGCTGGCTTCGAACCACGATATTCAGAGTCCAGCCTCCTGAGAAGCTGGGATTACAGGCGTGAGCCATCAGCACCCAGCTAGAAATACTCTTCCTTCCTGTGCTAAGCTGGGCAGGTGATGCTTACTTACCCTGTGGCAGAGAGAGCGGGGAGGGGAGTCTCTCCATGGCAGCATGTGGATTCCTGGATCCAGCCTAGATTCTTTACAGGTATCATGTGTTTCCTATATTCCCCGGCAACACACGTGGCGTATGTGGATGTGTGCTGGGCTTCTGTCATTTGTGATGGAGTGAATCCTGACGCTGATGCTTTAAAAGCCCAGCAGTAAGTGGAGCATTGCGACTGAGCAGATCTTACCCGCTCACCCTGTGTGGCCTGAGGCCGAGGCCCTGCCCATCTCCTCTCCTAAGACTCTCCTGCATCTGAAAGAGTTGTACCCACACGCCACACTGCCTTCGCACAGGGCCACTGCAGCCCCCGGAGGGCAGCCCTGCTGACCACACCGAGGGGTGAAGGCTGGGACCCAGGAGGAAGCAGCCTGAGCAGGGTCTGTCTCCCCAGCCTGGCACTTGGCCTGGTGACTGCCCCACGGAGGCGGCACCCGGGCTGGAGCCAGGCTGTGTGGAGAGCGGAGGGTGGAGAGGAGATTCCCGCCTGCCCGGCCAGCGGCGCAGGAAGCTCCCAGTCACCGCCCGCCAGGCAGGGCCCGGCCCGCCACGCAGCTGCAGCTGTCCACCGAGCTTGATTTGTACTGAACTGCTGACCGTCTGCCAAACGCCCTCAGAAGAACACCACTATAAACACCACGTTGATACATCCTGCCTCCAATGTCCCGCCGCCAACCCCAACTTCCCCCACCCCCGGGGTCCCTCACATGACACCCACTCTGTGGGGCCTCGGTGAGAGCGGAGGACACGGGATGCCATGTCATCTGTGACCAGGGCCCAAGGGTGTCCCCTCTTCTCCACCACCCCCGTTCTGTGGGAAGAGAATGGGGACCAGCGGGGGGGAAGGGGGAGGAGGGGAGAGCAGTAAGCGTGATCCAAGTACACATGTGGCCGTGTCATAATGAAACCTACTACTTTGGGGCTGGGAAGGTGGCTCAGTGGTAGAGCGCTTGCCTTGCATGCTCAAGGCCCTGGGTTTGATTTCTCAGCACCACATAAAAAAAAAAAAAAAGAAACCTACTACTTTGTACAACTAATATATACTGCTAATATAAAAGATTTGTTAGATAAAATCAGTATGTATTATCTCCAAGAAAAAAAAAAAGGCTTCCCTGCCAGCCTCCGTTTTCTATGGCTGGCCTCCGGGGGGGGGGGGGGGGAGGACAGAGCCAAGGGAGCCCGGGCAGGACCCCGGCTTGGCAGGATCCCAGCTTGATGGGACTCCAGCTTGGCGGGACCCCGGCTTGGCGGGACCCCGGGCTTGGCGGGACCCCCCTGCGTCACAGCCCACCGTGGCTGGAGGCGCAAGCCCATCAGTCAGGGCAGGACTGGAGATGAGGCTTCCTGGAGGAGGAGAGGGAACCACAGGAGGGTGCTGGGGGACCCCTCCCCGCGCTGGGGGACCCCTCCCCGCCACCATCACTGCAGCCAGAGAGCGACATGCGTGGGAGCCACACACCCCGTGCTACGCACACACAGGGCAGACCCTGTCAGGCAGGGGGCACCCGCCCCGAGAGCGCCCGTCAGGGGCTGAGGGTCAGGACGCGACTCTGAAGACAGTGGGCTTTCAAACCACAGGTGCTCCCCCAGGCAGGGTCCTAAGGTCAGAAAGATCCAGAAGCAGGAGAGCGGCAGGAGCAGGAGGCATTTCAGCAGGTGGGGTGGGCGGGGCAGGCCTGGGGCAGGGGCGCCCTGTGGGCAGAGGGGAGGCGGGAAGCAGGGAGCGTGGTTTGAAGAACACAGGATGAACTCGGGGTGTAGGGAGGGGCCTGCACTGCGGGTGGGGCCCCGGGGTCCCATCTATACACATGGGAAGGGGGCAGGGGAAAGGCGCTGCCCCATAGTGGATGACCAGGTGCTCTGGGTTACAGGGGAGCCCTAGCCGGAGGGCAGGGGGTAGGGGCCTGGCCCAGGCCTCGGGGCTTACCGGCTCCCTCCACGGCTTCTCCACGTCTGGCCCGGGGGCCGCCGGGCACAGTGGGTGCAGAGGCTTCTCCAGCGCCTGGTCCGGAGCCGGGGCCGGCCGGGGGCGCTTCGCTCCCCTCCTGCTCCCAGGAGGCGGTGGCGTTGAGCCGGGCTCGAGCCTGGGGCTGCGGGGCCAGCGGGGGTTCAGAGGGGCTCAGAGGAGGGGTGCTGGAGGCCATCCTACCTGCAAGAAAGCAGAAGGCCAGGCCTCTGGAGTCCGCCACCTCCAGCTTTCAGGTTCTGGTGTCTTAGTGACCCGAGCCAGCAACGCTGTCCAGCTCCACACGGCCCGGCAGCTCCAGCTCGGGTCCTGGCATCGCAGGCCGAGGCACGAGACTCTGGGCCTTAGTGTCCTCCCCTGAGAAATGGGGACAGGGCTTTCTGGGCAGGGCCTGACCTTGGGAACGAATGAGGGCCCACGTGGAGCACAGGCCACCAGACCTGAGCACAAGTGCCTCTCATCGTGCGTTCACACTGCCACAGAGGGCGCGGCAGTCCACGCTGGCGTTCTTGTTAATGACAGCAATAGGTGAGCACTGGTGGCACTCTGTAAAGGTTATGTGCCAGTACACACACACACACACACACACACACACACACACACACACACACACACACACACACACACAAATGAGGGGCCACAGGAAGGTCAGAGGCCGGAGTGATGCAAAACCGTGGATGCCACGAACTGATGATGGCGCCGAATCGATGGAAACGGAGCCCCCGCCCCGCCCCGCCCCGCCCCGAGCTGCCCACCTGGTACACAACTTGACCTTGGCCTTCAGTCGTCTGAACGGCGAGAATAAACTTTGTGTTATTTTAAGCCACCAGTTTCCGGTGGTTTCTTTTGGGAGCTTTAGGAAATGAATCTCCCGGCAGAGAGTAGAAGTTAAATGTACGTGAGCAGGCTCAGGGTGGGGAGGGGAGGAGGAACTGGGGAAGCCAGGATTTCAAACCAGACCCGCCCAGCTGTGGGGCCCGTCACGGGAGAGAGGTCACAGAGCCTCCCACGCTACTAACACACACAAGCAAACTGGGCACAGTGCCACAGGGTGAAGAGGCTTCTAGAACAGAAGAGAGCACAGGTCTACGGCGCATGGCATCCCGCGGGGAAAGGGCTCGGCAAGCTCGAGCCACAGACCACGGAATAGAAAGCCTGAACGTGCTTCGGGGTGGGGGCCACAACTCCCCGACACGGTCAGGCCCCAGCGTGCTCTGAGGCGTAGGGTGTTCCTCACATTCCCCTAACTCGAGGCACGTGCGTCCTCACCACCACAGATGAGGAAACGGAGGCAGAGGGGGGAGCTCCCAGCACTAACCTCTGGGCCCTGGGCCTGCCCACAGGCTGGGCATCTCCCCCTCCTGTGTGCCTACTGTCCTCATCTGAAATGGGAACACCCCTCCGTCGAGTGACAGAGCCCGAGGCCAGAGCCTGTCGGCTGCTAGCAGCCATAGTCTCAGCTTCAGGCCCAGAGCCTGGGGGGGGGGAGGTCCTGGGGGGTCCTGGGTAGATGCTTCCAGAGACCACTGTTGATGGGGAAACTGGGAACAGAGCCAGACTATCCCGTTCCAGCTCCCGCGCCAGCCACAAAGGGCTGAAGATCAGATGCTGTGTCCAAAGAGCAGCACAGATCTCCATCTGGACTTCTTCCCGCAAGGGATGAGCTCTTGACGTAACTTCTGAGCCTTGTTTTAAAACATCGCCTTGAGGTTACTTTAAAACCCAAAGCATGACTGAGCCTTGTCTATCTGCTTGGAAGTCAATGCTGGGCTCCACGCCATCTCTGAGCGGAGGCTTCTGGAAACAGCAAAGCAACCTCTGTAAACGCTGCCATCGAACAGCATATGCGGACTCAAGGGGCATCAGACCAGCGGGCACCAGGACCCAGGCAGGTCCCCAAGCCAGGGGTGGACCGAGGAGCTCCAAGACCCAAGCAGACACGAAGACTCCAGGGCACCCACACCGAGGTAGCACCCAGACCCAAGGAGCCCCAGATCAAGAAGGCCCACGCACCCAGGAACCCCGCCTGGCTAAGGTACAGAAAAGCCTGTGGCTTGGCACACGAAGCCCGGGATACCATCTGAGGTAGCCCGTGATACCAGTCCCCGGAGCTATCTGAGGTAGCAGGAAGGCCAGACCCGGCTTGCCTCCTCTGGGTACTCAGCTGCTACAGTCAAGCACCCTCCCGGGTGGTCAAGAAAGCCTAAGGCTGGTACCTGTCACCACGAGCAAGGGCTCTGCCCTCACCTGCTGCATGCTTTCCGCTCATCTGCCAAGCAGGCAGGACACATCATCCTGCGGTCCCACATGTCAGTCCTCACCCCACTGCAGACCAGAGACCTGCTCAGTGTGAAATGCCAGGGCTGAAGTTCAACTCCACACCCAGGATAAAAAACCCAGCACACTCAGAAAGAGACCCTCGAACTTCCCTGCACCCCTTCCAGATCCATCACTTCCCAAAGGGCCGTCCTTCCTTGGGTCAGGCAGCAGATGCACCGGGCCTGGCCCTGCAGGGTCCTCCTCCCACGAGCCAGCCTCCAGCCTCCATGCAGAGCACGGCAGCCCGAGTCAGAGGTCCTGCCCGCCTTGGCAGGCCTTTTCCAGCAGCCTCTACTGTGGTCTGTCTTCCACACCTGCTCACTGGTAAATACAGCTCCCAGGGCCTCTGTCTCCAGCCCTCTCTCTGGAGGGGGTAGAAGGGATGGCACCATCCTGGCTAACTGCCCTGCCTCAGTTTCCCCATCTGTACAAAGGAGAGGTTGGGATACCTTCCATATCAGACAGCAATCTGCTCTGCAATTGACGAAGGATTAAACCCTAACTCATTCCTTCCATTCAGATGGAAATCACCCTCTAAATGTAAAGTCCTGGAAAAATACAGGTTTGGGCTGGCTGTGGGGCTGAGACGCGTGCATGTCACATTGCAGTCAAAGTACAATCTCTGGCTACTGAGACTAGGAGGCTGCAGGAGGATTCATTTTCAGGTCTCCAGAGGCGAGCCTAGTTTGGATCAAAGAGTTTGTCATTCCAAAACAAACAAACGGTTCTGGGCCCTGGTTGGCCACCGGAATGACAAAGATCAGGAAAGAATGCATACAGCATGAACTGGAGCGGGCTGCCTCCTCCCTTCTCTGCTTGGTGATGCTGACCCCAGAAGACTCAGGCCGTGCTTCAGGGCATGCAGTAAGAGCTTCACATATGCCGGCAGAAGCCTAGGATGGCCTGGCCGTGGGAAAGCACACCAGCCTGGGACTGGTGTGGCTGGTGACCTTAAGCAAGTGGCTCCCAGGCCTGGGCACCCTGACTACAGGACGAGAGCCTGGTCATGCTGGCTTTGCCCCCAAGGCCACGGTGGCCACAGTGGTGACTTGGAACTGGTCATTGTGTAAGATCCCAAAACACAGAGTGGCCGGCATTCTTTCCCTGTGAGCACCACGGCATATTTTTATCCCCTCAGAACACAAACGCCAGCACCAAGGAGTGAGCTGGGCTGAGGAGCCACGCCCCATCAGATAGCCCCCAGACCTCTCTTCAGAGACACGGAGCAGCTTGTATGTGGGGCCCTCTGCCCAGATGCTCCAACCCCCCGCAGCCCAGTCCAGCCCTCCAGGGGCAGCCCCGGCCTCAAAGCCCCTCCTGGACATCATTCCTCTCCCCCTCCAGGACCCCCGCATGGGACACCCAGGGCTCCACACAGAGGCACCCCTCGTGGTAGCACCTGCTGCCCAGAGAGCACTGGCCAGGCGATGAAACCCCCAGCCTCCACCTGGGCTCACGCAACCCGGCTCTTCACTGGCTTGCAGAGGAAGGTCTCCACCACGCCGCTGGGCAGGCTTTAAAGCACTGTACGGTATCATTATGGGGCTGTTTAGCATGAAATGAAAATTAATCTCCAGTAAGGGGTGGAAAAAATGACTTCCTAAAATGTTAAGACTTACAATCTCTGGGTAAGGATGTGGGTGCCTTATTATATTCTTTTTAAAAAAATATATTTCCCTAATTTCCTATAATGAATAAACAATGTTTGGTGGAAAGTGTGTGTGTGTGTGTGTGTGTATGTGGTCCTGGAGCTTGAATTCAGGGCCTGCGCACTGTCCTTGAGCATTTTTGCTCAAGACTAGCGCTCTACCATTTGAGGCACAGGTCCACTGCTAGCATTTTTGGTGTTAATTGGGGGTGAGTCTCACACTTTCCTGCCCAGGTTGGCTCTGAACTGCGATTCTTAGATCTCAGCCTCTTGAGTAGCATAGGCCACCAGCGCAGGGCCAGGGTGTTATTTTTAAACTCATCTATGACTGAATCCTAGAGAACTGGGCTCCGTAGGTCCACAGCCTGGGGTGTCCACTCTGGCCTGGCCTGGCCCCTGGCACAGGGCTACGGCTCAAGACAAGGACACAAAGCCCTTGGTGGCTCCCAGGTACCTATTTTTGCTCTGAGTATTAAGAGCTAAACCAAGGAACATTGCAGCTTACCAATGTGGCAAGTTCAGAGATATAAAGCAATGGGCTGAATTGAGAATGGTCTGACCTTGATCATGGATAGCATAATGCCCACACCTGGCACATCAGCAGGCACGGATGGACAGCCCCATGCCAGGACGTGCCTGCCCCAAAGAGGCTGTTCCAGGGCCAGACTTCGAGCAGCTCCGTCGGGACAGGAAGACCAGCACCCCAGCAGATAAACCACGAAGGCAGAGCAGCACTTGGGGCTGCTGGACACATAAGGAGGCCCTCAGTCAACCATGGGAAGGCCCGACAGAGCCTCAGGACAAGCTGGGGTTGGGGCGGGGGAGGGAGAGAGGGGGGAGATCTGGGCACCCAGCCCAGGAGAGGAGCCGGCGATGTGTCCAGCTAGAATGTGATTGGTGGGTGGACACAGAAGGTAGAGAAGAGGCCTGTTGAGAGCAGAGCATGTCCCCAGAGCCTGAATGAATGCCAGGTCAGGAGGCAGACTGGGCCCCACAGGCCAGGGAGAGGAGTTCCAAAGCCATCAGAGGACGGGGAAACATGGCGCACCAGTAGAGCACCTGCCTAACAAGTGTAAGCCCCTGAGTTTAAGCCCCAGTATTTACAAAAGGAATCCTCAGGGCTGCTGGAGTCAGGCTCAGTCTGGGACTAGGGAGGAGGCACGGACGGACAGGAGTCAGCCAGGGTGAGGGGAGGGGCCGGGCATCCTCACAGGCTCTCACCCGCTGTGAGGAGCCTGGAGGTCACAGAGCAGGGACAGGCTTGGGGCTACAGCTCACTCCCTGAGTTGGTGGGTAGGATGCCCACTGTGACTCTTAATGCCACTGTTAGGGTACCTGGCACCAAGCAGGCATTCCTGAGGCCAAACTAAGCTGGGTACAAGGGGGGAGGGGCCTGCAGCCCCACGCTTGCCAGCTTGGCCTGGCAGGGACAGGAAGGCTAGAGCTGGGGAGCCCTCTGCACTCTTCCAAGGTGATGACCAAAAGGAACCTGGCCCCAGATCCCTGGCCAGACGCCCTCTCAGTCACAGTCCTGGGAGACAGAGGCAGACAGGGAGGGAGGGGCCCAATGCCAGGCTGTAATGAGCAGGGGCAGTCGGCACCCAGGGTACCAGGGCACAGCTCTGGGGTACAAGAAGGGAAAACCCCTTACAATCAGGAAAGCCCTGGGCAAACTGCCAGGGATCATCATACAAGGCGGAGGGGCGGGGGCAGGGCAGCGCTGGCTGGGGGCAGGGCAGAGAGCTCACAACTGTGGCTGTGGGTCCAGACCTGCACCTGGCCTCAATCCAGCCCCATCAGAGGGGGAGGGGGCCTGTAACTCCTACCCTCTGTGGCCCCTGAGAGGGGTGAAGAAGGGAGTGGAGGGAGGGAGCCCCAAGAACCTCAAATGTTGGTTCCTTGGAATTTCATGACATCAACTACAGAAAATGGGGTGAAAGGAGGGCTTCATCACATGCAGAGTTGACCCACAAGGGCTGGGTCAAATCTGCAGAATGCTTCCAGCGATCAGACCGGAGATGAAGGCCCCGATGGCCCATACCAGAGTGTGGTCACACCAGGGCAGGCCACAGCTTGAGGGGTGAGGGGCTCCCACTGCCCACCTCCTTTAGTGGGGGGCGGGGGGGCAGGAGGAACTAACTGACCACTGGGCTCTTTAGTAGCTGACCTCTCATGACCCACTAACCCTACCTGGGATTGACTTGACCCGCTAACCCCCACGTGGGACTGACCTCCCCCCCATGACCCACTAACCCCCACGTGGGACTGACCCCCCCATGACCCGCTACACCCCCCCCCCCGCAGACGCCTTCCAGCGGCCCTGGGGCGGTCCGGCCCGGCCGGCTGCGGTTCGGGCATGACGGGGCAGCTCGGTGCGGCGGGCCGGGAGGAGGGACCGGCCCTGGGGAAAGGATGTCCCCTGCCGCCCCGGCCCCCGATCGCTGGACCCCGGGGCCGGTGTCCCCGCCCCGGCGGGGTTCGCCTCGGGGCGCCCGGGCCGGAGACCACTTTCCCGGACTAGACGCCACCGACCCGGGAAGGCGTCACCTCGGGCGTCGCGAAGCACTCCCGACCCTCTCACGTCCCGGAACTTACAGCACACTTTGGGCCCGGTCACTTTTCAGTTTGGAAGGGGAAACTGAGGCCCGCGGCGGGCGCCCCGCCCCCCCAGCCCTTCCCGCTCTCCGGGTCCCGGGGCAACACGCGAAGGGCCCCGGCCCGAAAGCACTCACCGGCTGGAGGGCTCAGCGCGCCGCGATGGTCTCCAGGCCCGCCGCGGAGTCGCCGGGGCCCAATCCTAGGCTGTGTGGATCTCCAGGAATCCCACGTGAACCCCTCACCGCAGAGGGGCATGGGGCTATCTGAGCACACGCGAGGTGGTGATAGGGGCGGAGCGCGGCGGGGGCGGGACCTCGGGGCGTCCTCCACTCCCAGCGCGGCCCTGCAGACGCGGCGCCAGCGCGACTCTAGGAGCGGCTGGCGCGCCTGCCAATCACAGAGTGCCCCGGCCAATCGGGATGCGCCCCGCCTGCCCAGGCGGGCCCTCTCCCAGTGCAGCCGGGACTGGGGCGCGGGCGGGTCCCGGCGCCCACGGCGAAAGTTTCCGAGCGGACTCGGATCGGCGTCCTGCCGGGCTCCGCCCACGGGGCGTCCTTGGGCTGAGCCAGGCCGCGGGCCCGGTGCACAACAGGTGCCTGAGTCCTTGGGCCCGACTCTCCGTCACCTTTACTCGGCAGCCCCGCCCCGAGATCCGCTTTCATTATGCCTATGTTCATGGCGTATGAACCGAGCCCCCGAGCCCCGCGCTGGACGGCGGCCGGGACAGGAGAATGAGGAATCGTCGGCCAGCACCGGTAGCGCACGAGTATAATCCTAGCTACTACTCAGGAGGCCGAGATCTGAGGGCCGCGGTTCGAAGCCAGCCCAGGCAGGAGACTTCGTGAGACTCTTATCTCCAACTAAAGTGGCGCTGTGGCTCAAGTAGGAGAGCACACTAGTCTTGAGCGGCAAAAGCTCAGGGACAGGCCCAGGACTTAGCACAAAATTAAATAATTAATTTTTAAAAAAACGTGTGTGTGTTCAAGGCCAGTTTTAAATGGAAATCAGATGCCACCTAGTTTGCTTTCCATGGGATTAATTTAAAAGTATGTAGTAGCCCTGGCAGCCAAGATTCCCTTCTTCCAGTCCTCTGTGTTAGACACGCCCGATGATTCTTCAGTGTCGGAAACAAAAAGACACCCAGAGATGCAGGAGATTTTGCCAAGGCAATTTACTTGTGTAGGAAAGGGTGCAACAGGGCGACTCTCCCCAGAGCGGTCTGCTAGGTTTTTAATCCGTGGGAATTGTCCTAATAAATAGAATTGATTGCCAAGGTGAGGAAGGGAGCCATTGGTTAATTCCAACCAAAAGTTTATGTTTTGTTTCCTCTACAGCACCCGCTGGGAATGGGGTGGTGGGCAGAGCTGGGAGAGGTTGATGAGGTCAGTGGAAAGCTCCCCCAGCAAAGGGCTCTTGATTCCTTTGAACTCTGTTGACAAAGACTTCTCTTCCTGACATGGCTGGCTGGTCACCCGCAGCACAGACAACAGTTGCAGTTTTAACTCCTTTGACACAAGATTCACAAACTGCACAGATAACAATTACACTTGAAGTCCAGGATATACCAGTATACAGGATGGAGGTGGTTTGGTTTGATGGTAAAGACTGCTTTTTCTCACACCTTGCGTCTGAAAAGTCTGATTGGAGATAAGGTAAAAAGCAGTGCTTGCTAAGGTCCCTGGGGAATGGGTCCTAGGCCACCCATGACGTCACAGCAGAACGGGGAGGAAGGGAGGAAAAGCGAAGGCGGGAGGGAGTTAAGACCGGAGGGGAAGGAGGGAGTGGCTTTGCCTCTTTTCTTACCAGACTTCTCCTGGGGATTTTCCATTTTGCTTTTAAGAACTCAAGAATGCAGGTGTCATTGGGCTCAGGTTGGATGATAAAAGGAACATCTCAAACTGTTGCTGCTCACACTGTGTGCTTTTAAGCCAGGGTTTCCAGAGTTCACTAGGAGCGCGCTGTGTGCAGTGACCCCCTGCAGCCCAGTGCCGGCCGCAGGGGCTCTGGATGCTGACGGCCTCTCTAGATCCATGGATAGATTTTCCCAAAACAACCTTCTCCAAGTTGTTTTCAGCACACACTACTCAGGAATTCTCTCTCTCTCTCTCTCTCTCTCTCTCTCTCTCTGTAGTACTGAGAGTTGAACTCAAGGGCTCATGCTTGCTTGGCAGGCACTCTACCACTTGAGCCATGCCTCCAGTCACATGTCTAACCCTCTCCCAGTAGGGAAAATGAACAACGGGCCCTGCAATTATAAGCTTCATTCCCCTGGTTACGGATGGTCTTACTGCATTTACTGTGGCTATGACAGAATACACCAGAGGGGTGATCTCGAGGGGGAAGAAGGCTGTGCGGCTTGTGGATCTGGAGGTGGACGAGGCCAGGTCATGCGGCTGCATCTGGTCAGGTGGCCTCTTGGTCCTTACAGGACAGAGGGGTGGAAGGGAGCACACACGGGATTTGAGGAAGGAAGAGCACACAGCCGTGGCCTGGCCTACTCCGCAGGTGGCAACCCAGTCTGTCAGCCATTCACCCACCTCCCGCTCTGAGAGCTGTGTTTAAGTTGGAGTCAACACATTTCTCATTTCTTGGTGAAAATATTCCAGATCCTTTCCTCCAGTGTGGTGGAAAGTTCACGATCACGGCCCTCAGCCCGCCCACCGATGCCCCCCCCACCTCAGCCAGGCCACCAGCGCCTCTCCCTCCTCTCTATCTCCAGCAGCGACGGGGCAGCCAACTCCCAGGCGTGACCGCAGACAGGAAGAAACCACGGCACTGCAGAGGTTGGCGTTGCTGGTTTCTTAATCTTGAGACACTGTCACTTCCTCTCTGCCCCCTGGAAGCCTGGAGGCTCTTCCAAAACCAAGTCCATGACTTTCTTGCAGCCTCCCTCCAGAACTAAGGGCTCTCCAAGCCCACCCTGAGCCAGTGACCCCAGTCAAGCTTCTGAGGCTGAGAGCAGAGAGGATGCCTGCAGCCACGGATCCAGATTTTGTCGGCTACGTCTCTCCATTGTTTGTTGTTGTTGCAGTCAGTACTAAGGCTTGAACTCAGGCCCTTGCAATGTCCCTTAGCTTTTTCACTCAAGGCTGGTGCTCTACCACATGCCACAGCTCTGCCAGCAGCTTCTTGATGGTTAATTGGAAATAAGAGTCTTTTCTGCCTAGGCGACTCCGAACCTTGATCCTCAGATCTCAGCTTCCTACATTGCTAGGATTACAGGTGTGAGCCACAGGGCCTGGTCCAGCCTCAGTCTTTGTTATTGTCAACTAGAACAATCCAGAACCTACTAGGCCTCGTTTTCCACCCTATGCTGGAATGGAAGGTACTGCCATTGCGGGGTTCATCGCTGCCTGGTCCCCCCGGTACCCACACAAAGACTCACTGAGGCTGAGCCTCTTCACCAGGCTCCACGGGCCCTGGACAAGCCGAGGGAAGGGCAGATGGAGGGATCGTCCTTTACAGGCCTAACAGCAAACCTGTGCTACAGGAGCCTTGTTCAGAGCGTTCTCCACAGGGCTGAAGATCCGCAAGAAAAAGAGAAAAAAGAACAATTCTGATCATGACAAGTTAATAGCCAGAAAATGACAGAATCAATGAAGTATAATAATGTGGAGGAAAAGCACGAAGATCATCAGAACAAAAAGGAGAGATTTGAAAGACAATCCCAGGAAGGTATCATACCATGGAGAGGAGCCCCTAGCCAGCTGGAGAGGCAGAGATTAAAGCACTGCGAGACAGTACCCCTGGGCTACGGTACACTGTTGAGTGCAAACCCCAAGGATGCAGTGAAAATCTTGCAGAATTTTCGAAACAAAAGAATAAAAAGAAAAGACAAGAAAAGAACCAAGAGATGGGGTGGGGCTCCGATTCCTGAGATTAGAGAAAAGCAAGAAAATAGCCAACAGGGGCAGATGGAGAGCAAACCCAGCCATGCCTCCTATCTGAAGAGAAACAGCTCCGTCATTTCTCTCTGACCACGGCACAGACAGGAGAAAGCAGGTGGCCCGCTCAGAAAGCGGTGGCGAGCGATCGGCCTTGGAAAGTCCATGGTTGAAATGCTAAAAGCGTTGGTGATTTCGGACTGTATGTAGATATTCTCACATGATGTGGGAAAATCTACTTCAGCTCCAAACGGAAAACAAAAATCTGTTTATCTTGGAGAACCCTGGACATTGCAGAATCGCCTGTGGCTGGGGGAGGGGAGGAAGCGAGAGGGTCTGATGGACGTGTGGGGAGAGGCGGGGAACCTTTGAATCCCGGGACAGAAGCTAGGATGGTAGAGGACATCACAGCACTAAACCACACGGTCTGACACAAGGAAACAGAGACTGACATGAAATACACAGTAACTGTATATATGGGTTGGGGGGTGGTAGGAAGGGAAGAAACTGAAATCTAGCTCGTGCTATTTACCAGAAATGTTGCTAAATAGAAATCTAAAATGGACCCTTAAGCTGTCCCCTTGTCTCATGCTTGTAATCCCAGCTGCTCCAGAGGCTGAGATCTGAGGATCAAAGAGAGAGATTCAAAGCCAGCTGGGGCAGAGATGTGCGTGAGACTCTTATTTCCCATTAACCACCAGACAGCTGGACGTGGAGCTGTGGCTCCTGTGGTAGGACACTAATCTTGAGCACAAAAGCTCAGGGATAGTACCCAGGCCCTGAGTTCAAGCCCCAAGACTGACACACACACAAAAAAAGACATTTGAAATCTGGAATGAAAAAGAAAACCAATAAGAATGGCGGTTACTATTGGATAAACATCTCTGGAGGTCAGAGATGGCTCTAGGGAGAAAACATGGGTTGTGTAATGACCAAGGCCCGGTCCACAAAGACCAAATCACCCCCCCTCCCGACCCTCCCCCCTCGCACCTCCTCCCCCCCCCCCCCCCCCCCCCCGCAGGCAGCTGTGTGTTCCTCCTTGCATCCTGAGTGAATGAATGAATGAGTGAACGAATGTGTTATCCTGTGTGGGGACCTCATACAAGCTCTTTCTAGCCTACAGGACAGAGTCCAGAATCCCTCGCGTGACAGCCAGCCCCTCCTACCGCTTCCCTCCTGACTTCTCCCTGGTGTTACATTGTACAGTCACATCCGGCCCCACTTTGATTTACTGACAACGTTTATTGACTAATTGTGTGTGTGTGTGAGAGAGAGAGAGAGAGAGAGTGAGAGAGAGAGCA